TAACCGGTAGTAATATACGCTACCCCCCTCCTCCTCCTGCTGGTGCCTCAACCAAATTATAAGCTTTGAGAAAGCAGAAAAATGTGATCTCACATTTGCCGTTGCTCTGAGACACTGCATGAGTAGTTAAGTGTAATTGTATAGCCGGTACGTAGAAATTTAATATTAAACAGACTTCTTCGACTCTTTTAAAAAAGAAAGAAAGCTGAGTGTAAGTTAAAAAGTGGATTATTATAACTTTTCCTCGTCATCAGTAAAATTCGACCTCTCGAATTATATACGAAATTACATACCAAGAAATTGTTATTGGGGTGTGATAAGCAGCATTGGAATAAGTGTAAAATTGTGAGGTACTCCATCGTATTGCCTGCATTGTTGAGGAAGCAAATTGGAGCCTCGTGTCTGACGTCAAAAGAGAAAATTTATTGCCGCCAGTCGATGGCGACCACACTTACGTTCAGTATGAGCTTCGACTGGGCGTGTTGGTAGTTCTTTTCTCTTGCTCGGTCGCCTAACATTGTTTACGTCCATTAGGCAATGCTGAAAGGGATAGCCATACATCATATGGTCACAAGAATCGTGCAGGTAGCGACCGGGACATAAGCTGCCATTAATCATTGCAACGTGATGTTTTTGCTCTCTCTATAATAGTTCGTGTTTTTTTTTGTTGTTTTTTTTTTCCAGTGAAATATCGGACATCTTGGTCTGTCGCCGTTGGTCCGTGCCTTGATTCATCTCCAACAGCTGACAGGTTTGTCTGTCAATTGACTTACACTCGGTTCTGATTGGTTCTATCTTGTGGCTCCGCAATGTCTGGTCTTCGGCTCATCCTGAGTTAAAAATGATGAAACACTTCTTTAGGTAATTTGACTATAACAGTTGCTGTGTCGAGCGAAAGCCGAAGGAAATATGTTCTCTTTAAAACAAAAAAGGAAAGATATTGATAGGTATGAAGAACCTAAGACTGCATCGTCACGTGTTGAAGATAACTTATGATGTGTCATATCAGTTTTTCAGATCATTTTTACATCAAACAATTAGTAAACCCAAAACATTCATGTAGATGTATGTAGTGATCGCTTGTGGTACTTCATGTTCTGATGCTGGCAACTGATGCGAAAAGAATCGAAACACAAACAATTAGTAAACCCAAAACATTCATGTAGATGTATGTAGTTATCGCTTGTGGTACTTCATGTTCTGATGCTGGTGACTGGTACGAATAGAATCGAAACACAAACAATTAGTAAACCCAAAACATTCATGTAGATGTATGTAGTAATCGCTTGTGGTACTTCATGTTCTGATGCTGGCAACTGATGCGAAAAGAATCGAAACACAAACAATTAGTAAACCCAAAACATTCATGTAGATGTATGTAGTGATCGCTTGTGGTACTTCATGTTCTGATGCTGATGACTGATGCGAAAAGAATCAAAACACAAACAATTAGTAAACCCAAAACATTCATGTAGATGTATGTAGTGATCGCTTGTGGTACTTCATGTTCTGATGCTGGTGACTGATGCGAATAGAATCAAAGCATTCACAATCTGTAGAACACATTTTCAGGTTTGCCACAACGTGTTTACTAATCCTTCAATTTTTAAAATAGGTTTAATAGTTGAACGTAAGTGTCTCAGTCAAATGAATGATTTATGTCCAGTTAATACTGTTTTCTTATATTCGATAAATTCAAGTTTTATACAAATCTCTATAAGTTTGATCCTTATATCCGGGCTTCAAGTGTTTCGCTATTTTTAAGAATTCTGTCATTTTATGATAAAAATGAGGATTACCATTTCAGAAACATTGATTCGTCATGGGAAGTCAGGAAGCATGTGTAAAATTACGATTACACACGTACATTCCGAAATTAGTTTTGTAAGTTATTTGACCTTACTGGACCTATATTCAGTCATTGTATTAAAATCGACGATATAGTCACGTGTGTACCAATACATCTTTCGTAATAGAACTAGCTGGTGACGTCAGAGCGAGAAGAATCCACATTTCGCTGCCACTAGGGTAGTTGGGTGTTTCTTTATAACATTATACGAATGGGACCTGGAAATGATTTGAACTTGTATCGATTTATTTTTAACCTCGCTTGTCCCAACCATACCACACATGGATAAAAAAAAACAACGTATTTAACACGAAATTAAAAATTAAGTTTAGCCTAACATGTTTTAATTATAGCCTTATTACTTAACAGAGTTAATTATTTTTGCCAGAAACACCTTTCATTACACGCTTATCCCAAATCAGTCATTTGGTTCTAGTCAAGTAAGGCAATGTTGCCCATAAAAATAAGGAGCAGTGAAGTGTTGGGAACGTTGATTTGGGGGAATGGTCTAATTTATCCTAGCCTTTTTTACCTAGTCTCTCTGCTCTATGTTACTCTATGTTTTGTAAACCATCACCACCACCCCCAGTCATGGCAGAGCAAAGTTAGATATGCAAAATAGATGGTGTCAAGCAGTTGAGGACTTCGTGTCTTTAAATTCTCATTAATTTTTATCGATGTAGTCACGGCGCCCATTAAAATCCCTAACCCTTACATTTTCTCTCGGTTGATGATCCGTCAGGTTGGCTAACGCTTTTGTTCCGGCGCTAGAAATTATTTGGTGGCTTACCACAGACTATGTGCTTGGAGTATCTGAATGGGAAGGTCAGTGAGGGCGCTGCAGTATACCATAATTTTGTTCAATCATTCATCATATAGCAGTTGTGTTGTGTTAACTCAGTATAAGTGCTTAAAGTATTCTTGACCGGTACACATTCAATAGCTGAGTCACGTACTGCGTCTATTCAACAGCGTCGCTTCAAGCAGTTCATGGGACTGATCTAAATGATCGTGTTATCCAAGGACTAACATTATAAAAGGCGCTTTGCCACCAGTGGTGAGACCTTTGAAATTGGCTCCACGCTGCGAGCACCTTTAGTGTGGGGGTAACGCTGGGGTTGCGGCCAGCTGGGAAAGGATTATCTGGTCTGGACAATGGTCACAAGCTTTTGATCCTAGTTTTGTTGCTGCGAACAATGAAACTCCTGTGTCTCTTAAAAGCGAGATTTACAGAAGTCAAAGTTTGCGCTTTTAATGTGATAAATTCACCTATATGAGCTTGGCTTTGGTTTATCAGACGTATTTCTGTTATTATTTGGCTAACAGACCAAACTGCATCAGCCATGACCTCAAGTGTATCTATTAGGTATAGGTTGTTTTTTTTTATCAACAATCAAATAATACAATATTTTTACAAAATTTATAAAAATCACACACAGAAATGTCTGAAAAACTAGCTCTGTCTTGTATCCATTCTATGGTATGAAAGTATCAAAATAATTCAGGGGGAATATTGATAACCGAAAACCATATTCGTTATTAGTCAGTAAAGTACAAATACAGTTAATACAATTTACATCTACTAGCCTACATTTACATCTACTGTTTTAACTCTGCTTGTTGACTCGCAAACAGAATGTAAAAATTGGACCTTTAAAATAGTTTCTTTTGTCGAATTGTGGACC